TGGCGACTGGAGTGGATGGTAGGGGCTCTCGCCACGGGTTTCTTGCCTTTTCTGACCTCGTCTGTCTGGTAGGTTGGGCAGCTTCCCCCCTTTTGCATGAAGACAGAGGGGCAGAGAATGGGTGGAGGAAACCCCCTTTCTCCCTGCTGCCCCTCAGCCCCTGGCCCTCTTTTCCCATTGGTGGACTGATCATTTCCTGGACTTCTTTCTCTTTTTCCTTGTGTATGGATGGAAACTTGGTTGTTGTGGTTGTTACCTTTGGGATTTGTTGCAAGTCTCCGTTCATTCTGAGCCTCAGCGTTCCCGACTCCATCCTTGGCAGACGTGGGCTGCTTGCTGGCTTCGGTTTTAGTTACACGTTCCTCTTTTTTCATTTTTTCCACATGTGTCCCTTTTTCCTTTTTTTAAAAAAAAAGTTTTATTGCTTTTTTAAGACAAACATGAACAAACACAGCATAAAAATATCAAACCATCTTCCAAATATGTACATACAGTGTGTCGGTTGGTTTACAAATTGTTTTGTGCTTCCACTTCGTAGTCTTCAATTACAATTACATTGTATATGTTCTCATATTGTCAATCAGAATATTCCTAAATACATTAATATCATTGTTAATCATTTGATTATACTATTATTCATTCACATTTTACAAAATAATCCATATTTTACTTAATTTATTTTATGACAGTTCATATTTCCATCTCAAATCTATCCTATAATCATTTTGTAGATATAATAAAAATACACCTTTATATATTCATTATGTTCTAAAAATCTACATATTTCATTACCATTTTTTATTGTCTAACCATTGATAGAATAGATCCCAAATTTTATAAAATTGTTTATCTTCTTTTTCTCTGATTTCAAATGTCAATCTACTCATTTCAGTACATTCCATTATTTTCTTAATAACTACCTCCTGTGTTGGTATTTTCTCATTTTTCCAGTTTTTAGCAAATACAATCCTAGCCACTGTTAATACATTTACAATCAAATATTTCAATTCTTTACTAAATATTTCAGGTAAAATTCCCAATAAAAATATCTCTGGTTTCAAGTCTATATGCTTTTTTGTCATTTTTTCCAACCATGTGTGGATTTTAGTCCAATATTTTTTGGCATCCGCGCACGTCCACCACATATGGTAATATGAGCTAGGTATCTGATGACATTTCCAACATTTTTCAGACTTGTTCTTGAACATTCTTGCTATTCTTGTTGGGGAAAAATGCCACCTGTAAAACATCTTATACAAATTTTCTTTATATGCTGTTGACATTGTCATTTTATAATTTTGAGACCACAATTTTTGCCATTTCTCTAAATCAATCCCATATCCAAAATTCTTCCCCCAAGCAATCATTGTTTCTTTAACTTGTTCTTCTAGTTTAATTTCTAATAAATATCCATACAGTTTTTTAATCACCTTTTCATCAGTACCTATCAAAATCTTATCTAAGTCAGTCAATTTATCATAGAAACCTTCTGTTTTAGAATCTTTATCATACCTAGAAAGTATTTGCGCATATGAAAACCAATTCATCTTTATACCTTGTTCCTCTAATTTTTGCATAGATTTAAGTTCACCCTTTTCATTCAATATTTCACCATATCTAACTGTTCGTTCCTTTTTGTATATTATAGGGTAAGAAAATGCTTCAATAGTCGATAGCCAGAACGGAATTTTCAAATAACATTGCCTTTTAGTCTTCTCCCAATATAACCACAGAGACTCCCGTATATAATGTCTTCTAAAGTACCCCTGTGTTTTAGTTCCCCTATACCATAGAAAAGCATGCCACCCCAACAACAGATCATGTCCTTCTAGTGTCAACAATCTAGCATTTCTTACTGTTATCCATTCCTTGACCCACATCAAATTTGTAGCTTGGTAGTACAACTCCCAGTTAGGCAAACCAAATCCTTCTCTTATTCTAGCGTCTTGCAAAAGTTTTAATTTTATTCTTGCTTTCTTACCTTGCCATATATATTTCAACACGATTTTATTTAAATCTTCAAAATAGTCTTTTCCAAGCCTAATTGGAATTGTTTGGAACAAATATAAAATTCTGGGTAATATATTCATCTTGATTGTTGATATTCTCCCTATTAATAACAGTTGTAAATTTTCCCATTTCGCCAAATCTAGCGCTATCTGCTGCTTAAGTTTAATATAGTTATTCTCTTTTAGTGTACTACATCTTGCTGTCAAATGTATCCCCAAGTACTTGATCTTATTTGTGACCTGGATTTTCAATACATCCGCCAATTCTTCCTTTTGTCTTGATAACATATTCTTTGTCAAAATCTTTGTTTTGTCTTTATTTATTTTCAAACCAGCCACCTTCCCAGATACCTCTATCTTTTCTATCAATTTTAATGCTGTTTCTAGTGGGTCTTCTAAAATAAAAACCAGATCATCTGCGAATGCTTGCAACTTAAATTCTTCCTTTTTAATTTTCATCCCTTTTATATCCTTTTCTTCTCTAATATTTCTGTTTAGCACTTCCAAGGTTAACACAAACAACAAAGGTGACAGTGGGCACCCTTGTCTTGTTCCTTTTCTTATATCAATAGAGTCTGTCAGTTCTCCCTCTATCATTACCTTTGCCGTTTGGTTATGATATATAGCTTCTATTGCTTGGATGAATTTTTTACCAAAGCCCATCTGTTCCAGTTGTAATAACATGAATCGCCAATTCACATTATCAAATGCCTTCTGTACGTCTAGAAATATCAAAGCCATTTGTTTTTCAGGGTGTGCCTCATAGTATTCCAAAGTGTCCAAGATTACTCTCATATTGTCTTTAATTTGTCTCTTTGGCAGAAATCCATTTTGATCAGGATGGATAAAGTTGTTTAAGTATTTTTTAAGTCTTTCTGCCAATATTGAAGCAAAGATTTTATAATCTGCGTTTAGTAAGGAAATAGGTCTATAGTTCTTGATTTGTAATGGATCGGCCTCCTCTTTTGGGACAAGTGTAATATAAGCTTCTGACCATGATTTGGGTATCTTCTTCTTTGACATAACTTCATTCATAACTTCTAGCAATGGAAGATTCAACGATTCTTGTAGTGTTTTGTAAAATTCCGCTGGAAGTCTATCTGGGCCTGGTGCCTTTCCATTATTTTGCTTCTTGAGTGCTTCAGTTAACTCCATCATAGTTATATTGCTTTCTAACATTGTTTCAATCTCTTTAGGTATCTGGGGTAGATTAGTATTCTGTAAGTACTGTTTTAACTCTTTCATTGTCAATGTTCTCTTGTGTGTATAGTTTCCCATAATAGTCTTGTATAATTTCCTTCTTCTCTTTACTTCCATAGCGAACTTGGCCTTGATCATCTATTAGTTGCAATATTTTCCTTGATTCTTTCTCCTTTCTCAGTTTATATGCTAACCATCTACCTGGTTTATTTGCATCTTCAAAATAGTTCTGTTTCGCACCTCTGATTTTCTGTGCCAATTCTTCTTTTTCCATTAGTCCCATTTTATGTTTAATTGTGTCCATTTTTAGCTTAATGTCCTTTTTCTCTGGCATTTTCTGTAACTCTTTTTCAAGTCCTTTATACTCATCCTCTAATGTCTTAGAGGCTAGTCTTTTCGTGGTATTTCTTTTCCTTTTATAGTCTATTATCAAGCCTCTGGCATATGCCTTCATTGTATCCCAGACGTTCTGCATTGATGTGTGGACCGATCGTTTCCTGGACGTCTTTCTCTTTTTCCTTGCGTATGGATGTAAACTTGGTTGTTGTGGTTGTTACCTTTGGGATTTGTTGCAAGTCTCCGTTCCCGACTCCATCCTTGGCAGACGTGGGCTGCTTGCTGGCTTCGGTTTTAGTTACACGTTCCTCTTTTTTCATTTTTTCCACATGTGTCCCTTTTTCCTTTCAATGTGTCAGCGTCTTCATGCTGGTTTGTCCGGGATCTCTTCTTTTCGGTTCTCTGGGGTATTTTATTGGATTGAGCTTTTATGATCCCACGGATCTTGTTTTTCCCTTGAGGATTTATGTCGGTGGAATCTTTCCTCTCTAACTCGGTTGAAGTCGGCTCTCTTAAAGTCTGAAATACCACTTTGACTTTGCCTGCGTTACGAGGAATTCCAACACGATGTGGCCAAGCCCCCCCCCCCAAGTTCCCCCACTTGCACCCCCTTTATCATTTCATCTCTGCTAGTAATGAAGCCCAGGGGAGCTGACCCTCTCGGTCCCTTCTCTGCCTTTCGGGGGACAAAGTTGTCAGCCAGGCTCGGCAGGACCCTGTTATTGGCCTCCCGCTTCTCTCCGGTTGATGGCAGGAAGGCTTGGTGGCCTCGTAGCCTGCTCTTTGCCACGAATGGCGCACGGAGGGGCTTCCACGGGTGGTTATTTCCAGATTTCCTCACAATGGCCACAATTCTGGGCAGGCCCTGTGAAAGGCCATAGCCTGCCTCCAGGCGGCCGCGGGGATGCCAGGCTGAGTGCCCAGGCCACCTGCTGGATCCTGTGGCTGCCCCCTCCGCTTCTCCTCCTCTCTGGTCCTGAAGCCTGCAGGAAGTGGTAACCCTAAACCAGTGGCCTGGGGGTGGGGGTGGCCCAGCACCCGGCTGCTCTGGTGCGACTGCCACCACCAAAACAATTTCCCCCCCAGGTGGTGCTGAAGGAGGCTGGGCTGAGCTGCGGGGGGGGGGGGGGGGCGGGGGGGGGGGGGGGGGGGGGGCGGGGGGGGGGGGGGGGGGGGGGGGGGGGGGGGGGGGGGGGGGGGCTGAATGGTCTCTGCCCTTGCCCTGGGAAGGCATCCACTCTGGGCTGGGGAGCAAAGGGAAGGCACACACACACACACACACACACACCCCGCTGCAGGAGCAGAACCGCCTCCCTCCCTCCCTCCTTCCCCCGGGCGGCAAGAGCCTCTGGACTGGCCGCTGTTCCTCAGCAGGGGCCTCCGAGCGGCAGTTCCAGGCGAGCGCAGGCCTCCCCCCTCCAAAGCCCCTGAGCCTTCCCCCTGTCTCCCCTCTAGGTGAGCGTCACGGTGGACTACATCCGGCCAGCCAGCGGGGCGACCGACACGGTTCCCGCCTTCTCGGAGCGCACCTGTGCCACCGTCACCATTGGCGGCATGTGAGTGTCGAGGAGGAGGGTTGGCATTGAGGGCAGCCAGCAGGAACGGCAGGCGATGGTGCGCAGACAGAATGGCCTGTCTCCGCCAAGCAGACCTGGCCGCCCCCGGGCCTCTGCTTCAGCCCCCTGGTGCCGCCACCACGACCGACCGAGGGATGCCCCCTCAGGGCAAAGCCCGGCCGCCCCCTGCCCCCACTGGCTGCCTTCGCCGTGGCCCACTGTGAAGAGGCTGCACCGGGCCTCCTCCTGAGGCCTCCCAAACCCTCTCAAGAGGGCTCTTCCCCCCCCCCTTCACCAACCGGTGCGCAGCCCCCTTCTTCTTGCCCCACCACCTGGGGCCCAAGTGCTGGTCAGGGGAGGGGGCGGCTCAGGAAGGGTGAGCCGTGTGCGTTGGCCTCAGCCCAAGGAGGGGAGGCTGCCGCTTCCTTCCCCGCTGCCTGGCCTTCTGCGCCCACCCTCGATGCTGGCCTCCCCCGTCTCAGGCCAGCCTATTCTGGGCTCTGTGGAAGGGTTCCCCTGGGGCTTGAGGGGCCCTTGGGAGGCCAAAGGGGCAACCGGCCTTCCTTGGTGGGGAGGAGGGTCTCAGCTGCTCACCCAGAGAGGAGACCCCTGCCCGCCTTGCCTGCCTCACTCCTGCCCATCTCCTTCTCTTGCAGCAACATTGCCGAAGCGCTGGTCAGCAAGGGACTGGCCACTGTCATCCGCTACCGCCAGGACGATGACCAGCGCTCCTCCCACTATGATGAGCTGCTGGCTGCTGAGGCCCGGTGAGCTGTGGGAGGGGGCTTGGGGGGGGGCTCTTGCCCCATGGGACAGGCTGGTATTGGGAGGGAGGGGGCTTCCTTGTGGCCAGTAGGGCAGGGTTGGAGGTCAAGGGAAAGAGGGGACAAGGGGCACCCCGGCCACTTCCCACACCCCCTCTGGAAAGGAGGGAAGGAGCCAGAAGGCGAAGCCGGCCGGCCTACCCTCTTCCCTGGCCCAAGGGCCTCCCTCACGCAGAGCTCGGCTGGGGTGGGGAGCAGCACCGAGCAGGCTGGGCCTTTTCCCGGGGCCGCTCTTGGAGCGCCAGAGTTCCCGTGCTCCCCTCGCCTTGGGAGGGGCCTGCAGAGGAGACCTTGCTGGTCCTTCAGCAGCCAAGGGAGCAGAGCAAAGCCAGGCTCTTTGGGGGGGGGGGGGGGGAGCCGTTTCTGGAGCGGGAGGAGGGGCTGTGAACCCATGTAGGCAGCCCTAAAGCCAGGCAGCCTTAAAGCCAGGCAGCCTTAAAGCCAGGCAGCTGCTCTGCCATGAGGAGGGGGCTGTTGGGAACATGAGAGAGGGAGGGGGCTGGGGGCCTCCAGAGAATGCCCTCCCCCATCTTCCAGGGCAGCAGCAGCATTCTTGGGGTCCACGGCCTTCTCAGAAGGTTCAGCAATGTGTCCAATGGAGGGGGCAGGTTGCCCTGCCTGGGTTTGAGGCGGGTGGGCCGAGCTCTGGGGCCTGGAAACAGACAGGCTCTTCTCAGACATAGCGGGTGTCTCCCAGGTGCCTTCTGCCCCCTGCCCCCTTCTCCAAACCGTATGTGGGGCTTTGGGCTCTGAGGGGTTGCTGGCTCTGCCTCCCCCCAGTGCTTCCTGCCAGGCAGGGGTCCTTCTGTCTGCCCCCCCCGGAAGTCAGAGCCCCCCCCCGGGCTGATGCTTTCTGCCCCCCCACAAAAGCTGGGCCCTATTGTGCCCCCAGAGGGTGGAGCCCCTGGCGCCAAAGGGCCCCCCTCCCACTGGTGTAGCTTTCCTGATCTCCCTCTGGACTCCCCAGACTGAAGCTAAACCCTGGTCTGAGAACCCAAGAGTCAGCAGCTGCTGATCTGAATTGATGGTGGGGGTCGTCTGATGGAGGCAGAGCTGACAGAAGAGACAAGCTTCTCTAGCCTTTGTTGGCAGCTGGGACTACTCGTGGTTTATAACACTGTGGAGAGTGGCAGGCTGCCGTCGGGATTTCCTGAGGTTAAACGATGAGTGGGAGCTTGGAACTGCATGAGACATCGTAGGACTACAAAGCTGCTAAATTTCCAATGCAACATAGCAAGCCTTTCTGGCTATTTTTTCTAGCTACCATTTGCAGTTTTGCTTCTGCATTTTTGTGGGTGTTCTGTGGTCGGGCCTGGGAGGGTTGCTTGGGGGATGTTATGATATGTACAGAATAACCCTTGAGTAACAAGGATATGCACATGGAAACGTTTATGAGAATAGTTATGAATAATTATTCAGCCACACATAGATACACTAAATTGAGTTAAAGTTTACTTTAAGAAATAGCACAGTCCAATAAAACGGTCCAGGTCATATATGTTTAACAGTCCAAAGAATATCCAATTACAAAGTCTTCTTACTGGTTGCCTTTGTCATTTACAGTAAACAAAGATATCAAAGTATAAGCACAGCTTAGATAGCAACAGAATGTCAGAGATACAGAATGTCAGAAGAGAGCAAGCCATGATCTCTAACTCCCTCTTATGGCAACCTGCAATACAGTCAACCAATCGGAATATGGTATAAATCAACACAGTGATTTTGTCTTAAAGCTACAAACATACATTGTTGGTTTATATATTGCCAACCCAACTAATTGGTGGACAGATTCCTAACATTCTCCCCTTTGGGTTGGTCAATATACTGTATAATACATTACATCTTTAAACCATAATTCTCACAACACTTCTTATGCTTAATTGTACCTTGAGCTTTCGTGAAATGATCTGCAATATTATGTTCAGTCATGCAGTATTCTAACTGAATTAATTTATTTTGAACACACTGTCTAACATTCAAATATCTCAAAATCAGTATGTTTAGACCTTGTTTTAACAGCTAAATTAGTAGCCATATTAATTGCAGATTGATTGTCTTTATAAACAATAAATGGATCACGTACAGTAATTCCAATATCCTTCAACAATTGTTTATAATATATCAATTCTGTACACATTAATGATAAGCATGAGAATTCCGCTTCCATAGTGGATAATCTAATATGTTGTTGCCTAATAGACTTCCATCCTATTAAAGCATTACCCAATATTACCACTATACCTGATGTTGACTTACGAGTCACATCAGTAGCAAAACTTGCATCAGCATATGCAGTTAACACTAATTCATTACTTGGTTCTAAATATAATGAATAATTGATTGCGTGTTTTAAATACCTAATTATTCGCTTAGCTGCTTGCCAATGCCTTTCATTTGGTTCAGCGTTATACCTAGCCAATTGGTTTACACTGTAAGATATATCTGGTCTAGACCAATTACCCAGATATGATAGACTACCGAATAAGGATTGATATATTTCCTTATCAAACATAGGACTTTTGATATCACTATGTGTAAATTCCTTACTCGTTGGTGTCTTAGTAGATTTACAGTGCTCCATGTTATAGCATTTTAATAATCTTTATGGCTTGCGAAATTTTAAAACCTTTATTCGTTTTCATTATATCAAGACCCAAATAATGCTTAATCTCCCCTAAATTTCTAATCCTGAACTTTTTCTGTAATCTATAAACAATATCATTTGCTTCTTGTTCAGTTTTAGTTAGAATTGCTATGTCATCTGTAAATAACAGTAACAGAGAAATTAAACCATCTTTTTCTCTTCGAAACAAACAAGGATCAGCTATACCAGCTTCAAAACCTATTGAAATGAATTCCTTTACAATACATTTATTCCATTCATAACCGGATTGCTTTAGACCATAAAGACTTTTCTTTAATTTCCAATAATCAGTTTTTCCATCATCATTTAAACCTAATGGCTTTTTCATATAGATGGTATGTTGTAAAGGTGCACGTAGATATGCAGTTTCAACATCTACATGGTTTATTTTACATTTTTTCTTAGCTGCCCAAACTAATGCTGCTCTCAATGTATTTGCTCTCAGACTAGGTGCAAACACTTCATCATAGTCCTTATCTGACTGAGCAAATCCTTGAGCAACAAATCTTGCTTTATGGGTAATAGTCCCATCCACACCAGTCTTTATCTTATACACCCATTTGCAACCTATTGCACGCTCAACTGGTGGTAACTTTACATCCTCATACACTTCTACATGCTTTTAACGATTTTAACTCCCTATTCATAGCTTGCTGCCAAGCTTCCTGATCCTTTGTAGGATACAGTTTTATTTCATTGAAGTTAGAAGGTTCTGTATTAACCTGACATACAATGCTTGCTTGAAATCTGTCAGGTGGACGTCTCTCCCTAGTTGACCTCCTAGGCAACTCAGTACATGTTGTTGGCATGTCCTCTTCCTTTATCTCCCCTATCAAATCCTCATCTTCTACAGTCATAGAGGGTTCTTCTATTGATTCCTCCATTGAGGATTCCTCCACTATCTTATCATCAATATTATCATTAGGATTATCAGTAAACAATGGAGTCTCAACAACAACTCCCAACTAATTGGTGGACAGATTCCTAACGGGATGGTGGGGCTGGGGGAAAAGTTGAATGAGAGTATGTTGGTCCTTTCCCCCAGGTGAGAGCTGAGGGGCAGGAGTGGCTCCCTGCTTGGTGGGTGAGAGCAACTGGACAGGGTGTTGTTTTTGCATCAAGCGGACGCATTCTGATTATGTTGGGAGATAAGGGGAGCTGGATGTGACCCCTCTGAAGCAATAAGGGGTGGTGTGAGTTTGAGGGCGCTGAGAGCAAATGCTATAGTGCCTGTAAAGCTCACCTTGCCGCCAACAATCTGTCAGAGGAAGTAGATTCCCCCCTCCCCTTTTTAAAGAAGAGTTTTGGGGATGGGGGATGGAATGATTCTCAGGGAAGGCAGAGGAGGGCGCCCTATTTCAGTGGTGTCTGGTTACAGGAGATTTATTTATTTATTTATTTATTTGATTTGCCAATTGTTTACAAGATAATAAGTATAAGTGTATACATAGTTGTGAATACATGAAATGGGTACATATAAGAAAAATAAAAGAAGAATAAGAGAAACAATAGGACAGGGACGGTAGGCACGTTGGTGCGCTTATGCACGCCCCCTACAGACCTCTTAGGAAAGGGGTGAGGTCAATAGTAGACAGTCTAAGGTTAAAGTTTTTGGGGTTTGGGGAAGAAACTACAGAGTCAGATAGAGTATTCCAGACATTGACCACTCTATTGCTGAAGTCGTATTTCCTGCAATCAAGTTTGGTGCGGTTAACTTTGAGTTTGTATCTATTGTGTGCTCTTGTGTTGTTATGGTTGAAGCTGAAGTATTCATTGACAGGTAGGACATTGCAATGTATGATTTTATATACCATGCTTAAATCAGACCGAAGACGGCGTAATTCAAGGTTTTCTAGTTCTAGAATTTCAAGTCTGGTGGCATAAGGTATTCTACAACGAGTAGAGGAGTGGAGAACTCTTCTTGTGAAATATTTCTGGACTTTCTCAATTGTGCTAATATCAGATACGTAATGTGGGTTCCAGACTGATGAACTGTATTCGAGTATTGGTCTAGCAAATGTTTTGTATGCTCTGGTTAGTAGTGTGAGATTACCAGAGAAAAAGCTACGTAGGATTAGGTTAACAACTCTTAATGCCTTTTTGGCTATGTAGTTGCAGTGGGCTCTAGCACTTAGATCATTAGAGGTGAGTATTCCAAGGTCCTTTACAGAGCTTGGGTCATCAACAAGATCTTGACTATTCAGCCCGTATTTTATTTTCTGATTTTTTTTGCCAATATGTAAGACGGAGCATTTATTTGTTGAGATTTGAAGTTGCCATTTGTTTGACCATTCTGATA